TGCTAGGATTAAGGCGCTGGGATTAAGGTGTGCAAATACTAAATTAGGCCACTGATTGCTTGGCACCCGCCCTAAACCAGATCTCCTCCTCCTAATGCCCTTTATCTTGCTGAGCGATCTCTTTTCTGAATGTCTTTATCCTAAAAGAGTGTTGGATTTTGTCAGATGCCTTTTTTACACCGAGATGACCATGTCATTTTTTCCCTCTTGGTTCTATTAATGTGACCGACTACCCTCATTGATTTCTTAGTTGAATCTCCCTCCATCCCTGGAATAAATCCCACTTGGTCATGGACATTAATGTGCTATGAACTCAGTTTGCCGATATTTAGTTGAGAATTTCTTTTTTACATCTGTACTTATAAAATATATAGTTCTGTGATTTTTTTGTTTGTTTTGGTATCTTTGGCATTAGTCCCAGAGTAATCCAGGCCTATGGAAGAAGGGAAGAAGTGTTTCTTCAAGACTTTAGTGTTAATTCTTTAACTAGAATTTATCAGTGAATCCGGGTGTGGTGGCGCACGCCTGTAATTCCAGCACCGAGCAGCTGAGGCAGGAGGATCTTTGTGAGTTCGAGACCAGCCTCGGCTACAAAGGGAGCTCAAGTCCAGCCTGAGCTACATGGCGAGACCCTGTCTCAAAAAGCCAAAAAAAAAAAAAAGAATTTATCCGTGAAGCCAGCTGGTCTTAGGCTTTTCTTTGTCGATGGTTTTTATTATTACAGGTTCATAGCCAACCATTACGACTTCCTTTGAAGTCCATGTCCTACTTTTTTTTTTTTTTGTCTTTTTGAGACAGGGTCCCACTCTGTAGCCCAGGCTGACCTGGAACTCACAGCAGTCCTCCTGCCTCAGCATCCTGAATACTGACTGAGATTACAGGCATTTGCCACCATGCCTGGTTCTGAAGTCCACTTGTTGCCATGTGCTCTCATTTCTTTGAATTCCTGTTGCAGTCGCTCCTTTCATTTTTTTCATTACTCATTTTTACATTTAATAAAACAAAGCTTGTGTCCATGACTCCTCCCGCCTGAGATGCCACGTGTTTATTCTTGGGGACGGTACCTAAGTTTGTGTGCTCCTTTTCTTAGAGTGCCTCTCCATATGGAACACAAAATTTCAAACACTACAGACTTCAAAAGAGTTACCGCAAGGGACCAGTGGTCAGGTAAGTTTTTTTCACTTGGAAACTTTTAAAAATTTAGTTATTGCTGTCCCCAGTAAATAAAGAGATTTTCACCTGAAAGATTATATTTAATTTGGTTGTTATTTTAAGAGTTTCTGTAGGGCTGGGAATGTAGCTCAGTGGCACAGTGCCTTCCTGGCAAGTGTGAGGTGCTGAGTTCAATTCCCAGTTCCACAGGGGAAAAAAAAAGTTTCTATACATTTGTTATTTTATTTTGTTTTGGATTTTTGGTTTTGAGGTTTCTTTTAGAGGCAGGACCTCACTGTGTTGTCCAGGCTGACCTTGAACCATGCAGCCCAGGCTGGCCTCCAACCTGTGGCAGTCTTGCCTCAGCCTCTGGACTGCTGGGATTACAGGCAAGCCCCACCACACTCAGCTCTGTATTTGTTACTTACTTTTTTTTTCAGACAGGGTCTCGCTCTGCAGTCCAGGCTGGCCTTGAGCTCACTTTGTAGCCCAGGCTGGCCTCGGACTTGCAAGGATCCTCCTGCCTCAGCTGTGTGATCACAGTGCTGCGATCACAGCCATGTGCAGCCACACCCAGCTGTATTTGTTACTTTTAGAGAACAAAATTACAGGGCCTGGGGATGTAGCTCAGCGGCAAAGTGGCAAAGCGCCTACCTGGCAAGCGCAAGGTTGTGAGTTCGATTCCTGGTACCGGAAGAAAAACAACAAAACAAAAAGAACAAAATTATAGCTAGTTTTAGACCAAGGGAGAATAATGGGCTGCTCTTTCACTTGATCACTTTCACATTTTGAATGATGTTCCAAGGGTGTTACTTTTCCTGATAAATTAGGCCTTTAGGTTATATGTTAAATGTTGCCATGGAAATACTTAAAGAATTAGAGTAGCCAGGTATGGCAGCACACACCTGTATTCTCACCATTCTTACAAGTTCGGACCCAGTGTTGACAGCTTACTGAATTAGTGAGGTCCTGTCTCAAAATAAAAATGTATTTTTCTTTCTTTTTTTTGGTCTTTCTGAGACAGGGTCTCACTATGCAGTTCAGGCTGGTCTTGAGCTCACTTTGTAGCCCAGGCTGGTCTCAAACTCACAACGATCCTCCTGCCTCAGCCTCCCAAGTGCTGGGATTGCAGGTGTGCGCCACCATGCCCAACCTAAAATATGACATGATTTTTAAAAAATT